GAAGCAGTTACAGATAGCGATTGAAATTAACTGTAACTAGTAGAGAAGTAAACTAATGTCCATCGCCAATCTGGTGATCGTTCAAACCACTTCTGGAGATTGCCGTATGCTTTTCGCAACTGGTATCTGATCCATTTGTCAAACATTGCAATATGCTTATCGAAACGTCGTGTTGCAGGAATATTCATTTTTGTAACGAGTCAGTGAATAAATCTTGCTTTGAGCCGCACCGGAATTATTACGGCTATCTTTTTAAAAGAGATGCATGGAAAATATATATTATTCAAGAATCCTAATATTCCTATCGTCACTGCTTACACGTTTAGTTGCCAAATGTCACTTACGCTCAATAATCCATGGAGTTGTATAAATATCAGGAAAACACTCTTCGATCAACAGATTGAATGCCAAAGCTACCCAAACCTTCACCCGAAATATTGGAATATTGAACTATAAACGTTAGTTTAATGTCCAATTAGGTCAAACACAATGTCATTTTACTGACTGCAGAGACATTACTCGGTGCCAAATATGGCAGGAGACATGGCACTGGATGTTGGACCGAACACTGAACCGGACATGAACTGATGGAGGAAGGTTCACCTCACACATTTCACATGGAAATTCTGGTACAGAAATTCGTTATTCGACACTGTTTAGTGTTTTAATATCATCAATTGTGATGAGCTGAGACATTATGTATTAAAGAAACCACGTTCGTGACTTTATTCATAAAAATATAGAAAAAAAGCTTACAGCGGAGGTCACTGAGTTACAAATAGCATCGTCATAGAACATACTATGGGATGACGTCACAAACAAGAAACGTGACGCCAATGACGTCACATAGCAAAAGAATAGATAGCAGCCCGTCGTTAGGGAAAAGCGGACTGCTATCAAGTTACAGTGTCCCACAGATTTCTGTTAACATTCGGGCATTTTTATGATAGTTCTATCCATTTTAGCTATAATAATTTAAACGGTCACATTAAGTGCATTACATATATTCCATTGTTAACGTTTATGTTTACATTAAAGCGTTGTATCGGAAACATATGTAGTGGTCCTGTCGTTTATACCGGTTGTAAGTGTCAAGTTTTCGTTTTGACATGTCATGTGCGACAAGGATACCACATAGTATAAACTTTTCAGCATAATATATTCGTTATGGTGTCTTTAGTTGCCGTAAACGGTGTCATATTAGGGTAGCAGAAAATATTTTCCTAATATTTAACCTAATATGACACCGTATACGGCAACTAAAGACACCATAAATAATACTATACCATTGGATCATCCGTACCAATCGGGGTGAATAATCTTTCATTGTCCATTTAGAAGTTGGATTAGCTCGGGGACGTGAAAGGTATAGTGGATAAGGGGCGGTCGGGTAGCCTAGTGGTTAAAGCGTTCGCTCGTCACGCCGAAGACCCGGGTTCGATTCCCGACATGGGTACAATGTGTGAAGCCCATTTCTGGTGTCCTCCCCCGACGTGATATTGCTGGAATATTGGTAAAAGCGGCGTAAAACCATACTCACTCACTCACTCACTATAGAGGATAACAACTTCCTATTTGTTTGTCAAGAAGTTTCAGGGCGACGTCGTGCCCCTTCATCAGGTGATGAATAATACCTTCTTGATGAGGGGACAAGAAGTAGATCTGAAACGTCGCGAGAAAAACAAACAAATAAGAGAAGTTGTTATCCCAAATATGTTATATACCTTCTCGAACAGGAGTTTGTTTGAAACGGTGACAATAATGAAGCCGCCCTTCTCGGTACTGTAGTATGTCAGCATCATTAGTTGGACGTCTTCTTCGTCACTGCATGATTAAACGTCAAGCAGTTTTGATTGATGAAATGTACAAACCCTATTTTAGATCGAGCGGCCATAATTCCAGCCGAACGATTGAAAATTCCCATTATAAATGCGTCCCCAAAATACACCGTACTGCGATGATTAATTACAAAAACGTACAGCTGTGTATTTCCAGATACCTAATATGATAATTATACCTTTAAAGAACCTTGACGTTTCTCATAGATCCAGATATGGTACAACCGGTGTTTAACCTGACACAGATATAAACCTGAGATGCAAGAGGAGTTGTGTCTTTTATTGTACACACCAATGAAACGCTAAATTTATTGCACTGCTGTGAAGGAATTGTGTCTTTCCAGCTCCGTTTCAGCGCAGGGAGATTACTGCTGATGAGGCTGACCTTTCAACAAGGAAACATTGGATGAATTTATCGTATTAACGTCGGACTACGTGAACAGTTTCAGTCCTTTTATAAGGATATAATGTCAAGATTTTATTTGACTAATGGTCATGCAAGTCCACGAATAGATTACTGGGGTAATCCGTAAATAAATTGAATTCCACGCCGTTCCAGCAACATTTCCCACTCTTTTTTTCCATATATTTGCACAGACAGCTGTTTATGGAATCGGATTGTGGTGGACCAAATGCTAAAGCACCAAGAGAGAGATTTTATGAAGAAATGTTTTACAAATCTATTAAATGTCTCCCCAGACTAAAATGTTAATGAAAGTTTTTGTTGTTTGTTGCAATATTCCATATATATATATATATATATATATATGACGGCTGTCTGTATATAATGGTGTCTGGACCAGACAATCAAGTGATTGATGTAATGAGCATCGATCTACACAACTGGGATACAATGACATGCATCAACCAAATCAGCGAGCGTGACCACCCAATCCCGCTAGTCGCCTCTTACGACAAGCATAGTCGCTTTTTACGACAAGCAAGGGTTGCTGACGACCTATTCTACCTCGGATCTTCACGGGTCGTAAATGAAAGTATGGACAAACTATGACACACTTACCTCGATAATTTGGCATGTGTACATGTCTGATTAATTTGTGAATGTGAGTAACAATGTTATATTATGAAAACTTTCAGCTCCGATGGTATATGTATAGGATCAATGTTCACTGAAAAATGAGAATTCCTTCACAGATTTCTTTACAAAGCATATTCTACGGTCTTTCCGTATAAACAACCGTGATGGATGTGTTCTTAAAATAAGTTCAAATAACAGGGTCATAAAGAGCCATCCATCTATTGCTGTCGTTTCCTGAAATGTTATTTCAATTCATGTCCATTAAATTATTATTTGACAATCAATCACTATTGATGATTTTCGCAAGAACGTCAACCAATCGGATTTTCTGCTAACGAGAAAGAATGAGTTTTTTTAAAAGTAATATGAAATTGATATTTTCCGATTTCGTTATGAAAGCACAGACAGTAAATCAGATTAGTTGACATTATATTGCAGTCTCGCAGGCGCATTGTGACTGATCGAGCGGAGAATTTAATCACTCCTCTTCAGTTATACGTCCTTCGCTAGGAAAGGACAATCGTTAGACTGCCATTGCAATTCAATTAATCACATATTGACAATAAGTTTGGATTGAATAAAAACGTACATGTTACAAAGCCGTTTAACGAGGAAGGGACATGGAAACTGTAAAGATTTTCACTATTTAAAACAGACATTTACACATATATTATAAAACCCTTATGTATGTTTTTTTTTTTACAGACCTGAGCTAAAAATAAGGGAGGCCAGCGAAACCGCCTAATTTTTTTCATATTTAGATATATGCTTAAAGACTCAGAGTGACAAAATGTGATAAGACTGTATGACAATAGGGATGACTTCAACTTTCCCCTTATATCGAGCAATATTCCAGACCTTGGTGTCTACATTTCACAACTTTGGAGGTACAACCGAGCATGGTCTTTCTTCGAAGAGCATCATGTGAATCTTGGACAAAAATTGCTAAACAATCAAGGCCTTAGTAAAGCTTTCAGAACGTTTTATGGACGAAGGTGGAGAACATTTACAAATCAGACGCATCAGTGACAAAAAATGATGATGCCGGATGCAATTTCCTAATTTATCTTGTGCCATATGTTCCCGTTCTTTTAAGGTGAACTGACCTTTGCATTTGTCGGGTGTCACTGGTGGGGTTTAAACAAAATGATAACCCTATGTGGTCATGTTGCGCACCTTTAGGATACAGGTGAGGTGAGGTGAGATGAAATGGGGTGTAACGTTGCGTTCAGATTATTGCATCTATTGTGTGTAGCTGTTTGGATTAGGTCACTAGTTGGTGTTTATAGTGTTAGCTTACAGAGACACAATGACACAGTATACTGACTTCGAAACAATCATTGTTTTATCCACTTAACGCCGAAAGCCAGGCAGGGCAACAACAATTACCATTTTAACGTCTTTGGTACGACGCGACCGGGGATTGAACCACCGACCTTCCTCTCTCCTGGCAGGCGCTCGATCCACTGAACGGAGGCGGATTCTAAGATACAACATCAGAGACGTGCCTTGTGTGTTTTTCACAGTGTCATGTATTTGACGTTCAAATTTGAAAAATTATGACGATGTATTATTTTTGTGTATCCAAACCGAAAATCAAGCAGATAATGATACAAGACATTCGAGACATTGTAAGGTTTGTTTTATGTCCTCTTATCAATGTGTATTTCAGCAAGATAATTCAATTCGTATTCAACTTTGGAACTGAACAAAACCAGTTATAAATGAAATTGTCTTGAGGTCACATACATATTTTTTAAATATGTTTTGTTATATAATTATTGTTCAACAGACACCTGTCCGTTCGCTATTCTCAGTTATTATATTTAATGGTTAATACGTTTAAGTTGGGTAGTATGTGTTTTTAACACCTGGTATCATCATTAATTTATCGTGGCTCATGTATACATGCTAATGGTTAAGTCGGAGTCGTTCAATGGTCTGTCGCCTTTATTTATGTCAACCAAATCGATTATATTATTAACACAAATTATCATTTTAAACTAATATCAACTCTTATCAGGACTATAGCATATTTGATTCAAGGCTCCTAAGAGACGTCTTTCTGTTTTGACAATACTGGAAACACTGTCTTTGATGTAATGATAATTGAATCTTTTCAGAATTTAAAGAGGCGTTTTCTCTGTTCGACAAAGACGGGGATGGCACTATATCCCACAAGGAGCTAGGTGTTGTGATGCGGTCACTGGGCCAGAATCCTACGGAGGAGGAGTTGCAGGAGATGATCAATGAGGTGGACGCTGATGGTAGGTATCTCTATGAGCCTGTTAAGGCTCCAATCTGGTGTCCATTTCCAGTCACGACAGGCTCAGTTGTCTAAGGAGCCACAATACGTTGTGCAGTGTTGCGTTAGTTAAGTGTGCTGGAAACAGTCCTATGATCGTGGGTTCGACTCCCAGATTTGCCCTGGTTATGTTTTTAGATTTATCAGCACCATACCCGTTCCCGCAGGTTTCACCATAGACCTGCATCAGTCTGGGCTTTCCTCAAACACCAAGCTGACATGCCGTGATATGACTGAAGCACGGTTTAAAACTGCGTTAACCAACCTTGCTCATTATGACTCACTCCAGTCAAGGTCTAGACATTGTACTAAATATCACGTGTGAACCTGAAACATTGTCTGTATGCAATTAGTGGGATATTTAGCGGCTAATTTGATGTACATCCTAAAATGTGTTTAGGAAAACTATTAAGAAGATGTGCTTAAAACCCATTTGGTCCAAGCCTAGCAATGAATTTTCTCATTCTTTGACGTGCAGTAACGTAAGTTAATATAATCATCCTAAATGAAACAATAAGTCACATATGACAATTACAAGGAGTGGCTGAATAGTTTGTTGTTTAACACCGCACTCAGCAATATTCCAGCTATATGACAGTGGTCTGTAAATAATCGACCAAGCAAGTCAGCGAGCCTGACCACCCTGTCCCGTTCGTCGCCTCTTACGACAAGCATAGTCGCCTATTACGGCAAGCATGGGTTGCTGAAGGCCTAATTCTGTCCCGAATCGTCAGGGGTCGGGTGGCTGAATGGTTCTGAGCCTAACTATGATGGACTGCGTTGATGGAATTGGTTGCTAATTATTTTGCAACATTTATAAACCTTCTGGCTATTTGTGTACCTCGATATGGAGTTTTTGAAATTGTGGTAACACCTCGTAGGAGGTATTACAACGATTGTAACAGCTCGCAGGAGGGCTTACAATCATTGTAAACCCTTGATAGAACAAAAACTACATCAAGAGATGCCAAGCTTTTTTTTACTTCAAAGGAAGTTGAATGTCAGAGAGATTCCAGGTTTTACGCCTGCTGTGGTGGGTTCAACCAGGTCAACACCAAGAGAAACAGTAGAAGATGCTGTGGAGGGAGCTGACTCCGTTTTACTGGCCTTCGACAGAATTTCGGAAACAACCGCTTTCTGATCTTCACTTGCACGCTTGTACACACCTACGGCTTCGCTACGATGCCCAGTTTGGTTACAAATGTCTTGCTCGTCTATGTTAGCTTGGAAGAGACGGGTTACAGCAGTCGCGCGAAGCGAGTGATTAGTTTTCTTCCCAACGATGCCAGCCTTGACACACAGCTTCTTGATTGTACCCCCAACGTGTTGTGTCCAACCGGCATACTATGGTACCACTGCGAGTCGGCAGGCTTCCTCAGGGGTGTCAAGTAAAAAGCATCCCTTTTCTCTGGGAGAGTTTTCGGGCTAAAATAGATTAACATAACACGGAGACATAAAAATGAAATAAAATAAACCATTAAGAATTAGCAACTTGGAATTTAACTGAATACTTTACGTGACAAAGCGATCAAAGTTAAGACATTTAATTTTAAAATTAGTAGTATTTGAAGTTTTTTCAGAATTCAGAAAGATTTTTATTCAAAGATAGTTTCGACTCACTAAAATGACTGAAAAATTCTCTGATCAGGTCTCTGCTTGTTCTCATACGCTCTCGCGTCCTTAAGTTTGACCTTGCGTTGTTGGATTCCACCGGGGTTCGTTTTAGAGATGTCTTCACAGTAACGTAGGTAACGTCGACCTTTGCTGTCAGGGAAGGGACCAGTTATCTGAGGTTGGTTAAACATCCTCAAATTGCGGTGCTTTTCTTCTCCCCGTAATGCAAAATTGAGACCTAAAACAAATTTCAAATTAACCGCTCAATTTTATTTCAATAAATAAATACATATTCGAAACTGACAGACAAAAAATTAGAGAATAAAGACTATTTTCGACTCAACTGAGCAGAGATGTTCGTTGCCCTTTAGTACGATATAAACACTCACCAGTTAGGTACAAAACTGTATCCAGTAGTGACTGGGGAGTAGAGTCTCCAAGCATCCCCTTCTCCCACAATTGCTGTTCCTCTTCCTCGGATATAACTTCTGTCGACCTGCGTGTTGACGCGCCGAATCCCTTTCATTACTGCATCGAGAGATTTTCTCGCTTCTTTAAATACGTCATCAAAAAGGTTGCAGAATGCAGAATTTTCTTTCAGAATTGCCGCTGCATACATTCCATATAACGTCGTGGATGGATAAACTTCCCCGTCCTGCTTCCTGGCTTCAAACAAAAAGTACGTCAAGGCAGTGTTCAAGTCCGGCCTTTCCCTATCCTGCAAACGCTGTGTCAAACAACTAGGAAGCAAACGAAGATTTTCATTGACTGAGCGTTGCATTCTCTCCTGTTGCCATCGCTTGAAAATACCCACAGCCCAGTCATTTTTCATTCGAGTTCGCTTAGAAACAGTACCTTTTAACTTCTCTCTCATAATCTCCTCGGTCAATGGTTCCCCAAAACGAAATTGAAAATCATCTTTCTCCTGGGATCAAAATTTTGACTGAGTCAAAAATAAGTCTGTCTCGCTGCCAGACATCACTTCGGGCTTTCCTCCCACATTAAGCTGACACGCCGTGATATAACTGGAAAACTGTTAAAAGCGGCGTTTAACCAAACTCACTCACTCACTCGCTGTCAGACATCCTCTTTCGTCACTGGCTGTACAATGAATGAGCGTCAGTCAAAGCAAAACGTGTAATAGTTTCAGCCTACGAGACGCACGTGCAGATTTCGTGCCATTGCGAGACGCACGTGCAGATTTCGCACCGTTGCGAAACCCACGTGCTGAAGTCACCGGTTTCACTGAACCGAGTTCACGACTGCAGGTGATATTTCATCTCCGATACAGGTTATACATTTGAGAGTTTTTATTACAGTTATTTAATTAAAAACGTTGTCTATGCAATGAATCGGTTTATAAGTTGAACAAACCATTTCTCCTCGGGATTACCAGCGATTGCAAACCCTGACATTCGCTGACATACCGAGGGCGCCGTAGTAGGTCCCCGAGGTATGTCACCTCGAGGAGCTCATGTCAGGGTTTACAATCGCTGGTAATCCCTCGTAGAAATGGTTTCTCCTATACATAACCTCTCCGAGGTTCTGCCAACGATGTTAGAGTGCCTTGATCCTACTGGTTTGGAACGCGTCCCCCTGGTGGTGTGATGTGTCATACACAGCGGAAATGACATCATCATCATCATTTGCATAATGCTTGTCAGACAGTTCTTTCCTCAAGTTTGGGAAGAGTTGGAAATCTGATGGACCCGATTCTTTTGAATAGGTTGTTCTAGGAGTTCAAAGCCACAGTCATGCATTGGAGCGATAACATACAAGTGCACAAGTGCCTTGTCTTCATGGAGCATTATACCTTTAGTGATTGAGTATGGTTTTACCCTGCTTTTAGCAATATTCAAGCAATATCACGGCGGGGGACACTAGAAATGGACTTCACACATTGTACCCATGTCGAGAATCGAACCCGGGTCTTCGGCGTGAGGAGCGAACGCTTTAACCACTAGGCCGCCCCCATACCTTAAGTGAGATTTCCTCGACGTTGCTGCACTCACATTGTTCACTAAGCAGATAAGCATAATATTGGCCACTTGCGGCCTGAACTTTTGGGAGGTAGTCCACCAGGAGGAACCCAGAAATCCAAACCCATCACCGTACCAAAATGATGGAAGAGACTTTGGATGTTTCCACTCTTTGACTGTTGTTCCACTGTCTCTGGCTGACAGTGGTGAACACAAGACTCTTCTATGATTACAAATCGCTTCACAAAATCAGTTGAGAGATGATGAACCTGGTGTCATTGGAACTTAGTGTGCTGAAACCTTCGTCATGGTTCATTCCTCAGAATGTTCTCAACTCTTTCATGAGAGATGCCAACTGTGTTGGCTATGTGCCCATATGAGTAAGTCATCCAGCATCCATAATCATACTATGTATTTTATCAACATTTTCCGAAGCGTTGGCAATTGAAGGTCTTCCTGATCTTGGATTAACTTCGAGGCTCACATTTACCCTCTTGAACCCTGCTGCTTAATTCTGCGGCAAAGGAAGGAGCATCATCCCCTAAAGTTGACGCCATGTCCGCATAGATGGCTGTTGGAGCTCTTTCAATTTGAGATACGTGATGACTGCGCGGGCGCCAATTTGGTCAATTTTCATCAACAGTGAATACCAAGTCAATGTAATTCCTGCAGAGATATGCAGCCTGGTTGTGTATTTGGTTCAAATGTCCTTAATACATGCAGACTGTTACGGGTGTAACATGCATCCTTCGTTGTTAGGCCAAGAAATGTTCAACCAGTCTTCGTAACTATTTGGTTCAGAAATGAAGAAAAAGTATATTGCCACGTCCTCCTGGCCTTCTTATTTTTCTTAATAACATACGTCCTCAAACCATACATTTACAGAAGTGATTGAGAATAATGCCGTATATTTCAAAAGGTTTGCTGATTGGTTTTCAGACAGGTTTAATTCAACTAATTTAATTACATTATTACACGGGCTACAGACGTATCGAAGTTATGCATCTTTGAATTCATTTCTAAAACTATTTCCCTTCAGCTATTTCAGTTGACTCAGGAAAGACCGCACAAAGCAATGAGGACATTAATTGAGGCATATCTCAAGAGAAATGTAGAGAATAGGTAACAACCAGCATGCTTAATTATGTCTGAGGTGGCATGCATCATTTATTTTATTTACAACATTATGAAGCAAAAAGTTCAGTATTGTCAGTCATATTTGATATTATTGGAATTTCAGCATTGGCGTCCATATTATTGAAAATTATAATGACCATGCGCTTGAATAAATCTATCAGTATTCTATTCCAATTTTCTACATTATGAAAACGTTAGCAAAAAATCACACTTCCTGATTTTACCGAATCTGTGGGCGTCTGCACCGTGATATTTCATTCAGATTAAATCTATACTCCATTAAATTGCTTTCTTGAGCATTTTCCATGTGGAATATCAAATGCCGCTCTAAACTAATATTGGATATTTTTGTGTTTGTTTGACGTCATGAATTATATCTCTTCCTCTGGCAATCAGTTGAAACATGTTCAGTTAAATGTCATTGGCGTAAGTTGATCCGAATTATGTGAATAATAAACACTTTCTCAAATCTGCTGTCATTCCGTTAGAATTGTGTCACACTTGTCCATGTAATCGGATGGGAAAACCAAACGTATCCTCTTCCCGTCGCATTTTCACAGGTAATGGCACCATCGACTTTGAGGAATTTCTCCAAATGATGGCAAAGAAGATGAAAGAGACAGATAATGATGAGGAGTTACGGGAGGCATTCCGTGTGTTCGATCGAGATGGAAATGGTTACATCAGCGCCGCTGAGTTGCGGCATGTTATGACAAATCTAGGAGAGAAGTTAACCGATGAAGAGGTAGATGAAATGATTAAAGAGGCTGACGTTGACGGCGATGGAATTATCAGCTACGACGGTAACTGCATCCATTGTTATTATCTTCGTCCCATACATAGTTTCATACGAACGCCGTTTGGTAATTTATGTCATTATTGACCAATAGCGTGATCGTTATTTTCGACTCCCGCAGAGAGTGCTTAAGTGTCATATTCACCAATCGTATGAAATAGTTAATTATATAATGATATTGTATTTGTCTGAATTGCACATGTAGTCTATTTCCATGGAGTCATGATAAAAGCATTGCATTTGCAATCGGGATTTTTAATACACTGCATATCAGGTTGTTATTCACGTGCACCAAAAAAAGACAACTGAAAAACGGATTTTAAAGTGAAAGAAGAGGATTCTGCAATCGTCCAAAGCTACTTAAATGAACTGATAATGAATATTTAATACACTACATTTATAAATACATTTTAGTAGGTGGCCTTTTAGTTGTGTACATGCCCTATTCCAGGAGTACATGAGCAAAACATGATTTACCGCCTTTTCCTGCAGTATTCAAGCAATTCACTTCGGCTTGTAAATATTCGAGTCTGGTCAAGGCACGACAGTGGTTGACAGCATGAGAAACGATGAAAACCGTAGGGGTACGATGACACATTATCAGCCATTTAAATTATTTAGCCCACCCAATCCTGATTTAAGCCTGCAAGTATGCAAAGTATGTGTTTGAACTCGATATGAGATATGATTATGTAATTGATTATTTGCGATGTTTCAAGGGATGTGTCATTCATCTGTCAACAATATGAATGCGATATTTTCTTTTACGCAACTTAGGATGGGATACACTGTTTGGACCTCAATCTATGGAGATTCATACCCCAATGAAGTCACACTTATCTTACTTTTTTCAATCGCTATTTGGTACGTGCGACCTCTTGTGAACAATTGTCTTGCTTTTGCATGTGTTTGTGACGGGCGTGTCAGGATAAAAAAATACCTTTTCGCGAACACCTGGTGTCATAACTAATTAAAACTCCTACACCAATCACTGTACCGGTGAACAAAAACAATTTATCAAAAAGTGCTACATTGTGAGAGTATGTTTGCACAAGATGCCCTGCATTAATTTCCTTGATAGTAAGGTTAAAACAAACAGATATAAGTAATATCATCAGTAGATGGGTGATTTATGTTTTGTGCTACTCTAGTACGTCAAGGACAGTGCATCGTGTTGACCTTGAGTACATGAATCCCAAATACAATCGTGATAAATAGGATAAATAGGCCTGCCTCTCAAAAACTTAATGTGATAAACACCGCTAACTTTTAACATGAAAATCCAAGTGCAATTATAATGAAAAAGGTTGGTCTAAGATCAACAGGAAACTACCACCGCCCTGGAAAGAGAATCTGTAAACCATCCTGCTCTGAGTACATGCCTCTGCGGCAACTCTGAAGCAGTCCGTAAAATCAAGATTATTTTATTATTTGGTTCTGGTCAAGAATTCGTATCGACAAACGATAAGGCAACACTTTAATACGATCTTGTTTGTAACTGCAAAGCACAGAAACTCACGTACGTATTCTCCTTCACACGAATAGGCTATGGTATTATCGTTTAATTGTATTGCTGGTCGATTCACAGATGGGAATAGGCGACTGATAAATGTCCGTTAATGAAAAGGCACAATAGCGCATTAGAGTATCGGCAGTTAAACCGCTGATGAGAACCATTAATACATTGTGTATTCGACACACCGAGACATTAAAATCATAGTACATGAGCACGTTATTCAAGAATTGAAATTCTAAATAAAAGTAAATAAACTGTGACTGGAAAACGGTATGATTGAAATTTTAAAAAGCCTATTTGTTTCTACTCAGGACTGTAATAGGATACTTTAAAGCGAATTGTTAGCGGGATGAAACTGCAAACAAAACTCCAAGGGACAATGATCAGCATCAGTACTTGTTCCCTGTTGGGATGGTTAATGTGTTTGGCTGTATCAATACTCCCAAAGACCAGCGCGGTGAAGTGACGCGTTCTCTCTCTCTCTCTCTTTATCTATCTATCTATCTATATCTCTCTCTCTCTCTCTGTCTCTCTCTGTGTGTTTGTACAAATCCAGATTACACCGATTTTATAGTGCTCGCCAACCAGTCCATGTCATCTCAATGCCGAGCGCCGGGCAGTTTAACAAAACGTATCAGTCTTTCGGTATAACGTGGCCGGGAATCAAACCCCGGCATTCCGCTCTCCGAGCAGACTAATATTGCTCATAGTTCACACGTGTTGGAAGGTTGATTCTGTGTTGAATTATGCGATACATCAGTACAGTGTTGCAAAGAAGAAGTATTTGTAGCCAGCGACAGGCATGAGTGAATGAGCTGGTTGCACATCGCTAAATAGCATTATTCCGACAATATCTCTGGTAATCGAACCCGTGCCTTCGGCGTGACGAGCGACAGCTTTAACCACAGAGCTACCCCACCGCCCAGGTCAGGTATGAACCTTCTTGAACTGTCTTACTGGGAAAGGATTTACATTCCTAAACTGTATACGAGATGACTATTTTGTGAATACCCGATGGCATTGTTGATGCAAACAGGCAGTTTGTTTGCTGTTGACGCCAATATTACAGCAATATGAATAACGTCCAAAGCCATCGGTTTTGATTCAACAAAGTAACCAAGCCATGACCACACAATCCAAGCTCAACTGTTCGCGAACACCTGGTGTCATCACTATTTGATAGTGATTCATAAACACATGCTTATGACAAACTAGTAGTCGGAATCGTACAATGGATTATGCTTTCAGCTGATTTGTCTTTTGATTATAAAACTGGTTGCTGCCGCGCTTTATTTTTATGGCTACACCATTGTGGTTTTAATTATGTCTATGTAGTTCTAGCATCACATAAAAAGTCCAAACGAAATGGAAAAAAACATGACGAGCATTTTTGTTGTTGCAGATTTCATGACCTTCGCCAACCAGCTATTGTTTTCATATGGGCCGTTTTGATGTCGGAAAACAAGGTTTAACATAGCCCAAGTTCCTTTATGGACTGATACTGTGCCCAAGTCCTCGATGACGATATTCCAGTGTGCATCTCAAAGAGACAAGGAGGCCAAGAATACAGTAGAGTCATACGACCCATATGCAAAAAGAAGTCCATGCCCGAGATAGTGTGAGAAAAGACCTCTCTGGCACCACGATGTCTGGGATATCATTTACGTTGGGATATGTGCCAGTCAGTCGTTCTCCTGCGGCAGTCACTGCAGGCCACCATCCCCAGCCTGCAGCTGTGCCCCCTTCCATGTTGTACTCCGCTCACTATCACCCGGAGTCTTTGCTTAGGTGCACACAGTAGGTTGTTGTTAACATATCGTCTCACAATGAACAGGGTGATGTGTGCGCCATGTATGTGGGGCAACAGTGTGTGAGGTAACACCATACATAGACGGTTGGTGTTGACACTGTCATGTGAACTATACCTGACGTTGTCATTGCGCCCACGTCAGTTGCACTTCATACAGTGTGATCGAATACGTGCATGTATTAAAAAAGTGTTTGATTTCTAAAAGACAACGTACATGATGAGGCCCCGATCGGTCCACTTGGTGTGCATATAAGAAATAATGAACGTTTCCAGATCGAGTTAGTTATAGATGTGTTCAAATGAATGTGAATTAGACTTTCCACCACTTCCATGTTTTAGCCTCTAGGTAAGACTAAAATGCGCTCTAAAGGTTAGATTTAAAGGATTTAGAGGATTTGATGAAGCCAGTTTATTTGTATATGAGCAGGCCTTTGACACAAGTAGTGATACGATGTTGTAAAGCCAGTACACAAACATATAGTGAAAAGCCTTCTCAGATCCCCGTGAGGAGTTTGGGTGGTACTGGCTCCCAGTGGACAATGCTGGTGGAAAGATGCGACCAAATTGGATCGAGTGGTCAGGCTCGGCGCCTTGGCTTATTGCGTGTCATCGGATTCTGGCTGCTTGGATTATTGCTGATTTTGGCCCGGTCCTGACTTAATCATTAATTGTTCTAGGCTGTGATATAGCTGGAATGATGCTGTCTCCGTCGTTCAACAACATGCACTCAATTCACAATTGCATATCGTCAAATCAACATTTTCAACATTTATATTTATACATTTGATTCTGTCAGAAATTTGCAAGTGAGAGAGAAAAAAGTTGAGTTGCTATTCACATAAAAAAATTCGTAACTTTAAAATTGGACTTTTTCAGTCACAAGGCAAAAGGCGTTATTTAGCACACCACGGTCTTAGTCAGAGGACCCGTTGTGATAAACCACAACTGTCACAAACGTTTAAGGTCAATTGTAAGAAACGTGTTCAGAATATTGGAACATAGTTTTTTTCAACGTTCTCAGAATATTCGTCACTGATAACTGGTATCAATTATGTTCAATTTCATGTACTCATCTGTCAATATTCCAAAATTTATTAATTATATGTACAGCGATTTAATCTACTCACTCTAAGATACTTTAAGACATATTTATATACCTATGATATCAGGCGGGGGCACGGGTGACCCAGTCGCCTAGGGCGACGCAGTACGCTTTGCAGAACTGCGTCCCTAAGTGTGCCAAACATCTGTGGTAGCAGGTTCGATTCGTGATTCGGCATGATTATGTTTGTATGTTTGTCAGCACCTTACCCATGTCCGTGGGTTCCATTAAAGTGGTAAACGTCTATGACCTGCATCTATTCGGGCTTTCCACCCACATCTAATAAAATGACACACCGTGATAAAACTCACTAGATGATATAGCAGGACAATACCCTGTATTGTTTATAATCGTCAGTGATCATAATTAGTAACACACTGTAATTGCAGGATACGTGTTCATTACGAATTAATCGCACACTTAACAATGTTGTGCTTCGCAAAGACAGACAAATACTTAAAAGAAAGTATTCAAACTCGTTTCCATAAAATAGAAACAAAATAAGCAATGGCGAGAACGTAACAGTATCAAGATTTATATTAGTATTTTTACATGAGTAAAACTGTGTACGCGAATAAGAATGTTTGTTACCTGAGATATTTTTTATATTACCATTCTTTTTTGTATATAACAATAATCACCTACGCCGTTGCCAAATATTCCAAAAGCAGAATCTCATTCCAGGACAGTGACACAATGATCTTTCTGATACAGTGAACGCAGTTATCACAATGGTACAGATTAACTTTGAAAATCACCAATAGGTAACGTCCTATCTCAATTTTTTAATTACAGACATAAACGCAATTCAAATACTTACTTTGCGCACTTTAACTAAGTCACTGCGTCGGGTGATATTATAATATCGTCCAATTGTTAGTTTATATCATCGAAAGGACTGACAAAGTAAACATTTGGGAATTTCGCTGCCTAAAGCAGAATACTATTCGTTATTCATTGCCTGTATGTAGATTCTAAAATGTATTATTTACCGACTTATGACGTAACATTGAGATTATTGCTATGGCAGTAATGGTTTTGTGGTCCCCTGATAATCTCTTGTTTTGGAATAGTTATGTTTATGGAATAGTTATGTTTAACACAGGAATACTAAGAGAGTCAGATTTATTACGCTGGTTAGGTTTCAACATTGAAAACATCCTTTGGGAATTTCAACATTATATGTGTAGAAGATTAGGTTTTGGCGAATGACGAAAGAAACCATAACTGATATTGTCAGGAAAACGTCTGTCAATGATTGTCCTAGAAACCTTTTTGAACCAGAATATGAACTCCGGCAAATAGTGATAATATTGTTTTCCTTTGTTCGGTCTGGTGGACAGAGTCTGAAAATGCACACCTTTGAGACATCTATATATTTTCTACGGATGAACACATCTTGTATGTTAGGGCGCAAATTGAATACATGTACATATAGCCTACATATATTGCATTGTCTGTGAGAAAACTTATATTTACCTGTTTGTACCCAGTTGATTGTTGTTTGTACATTTATAGCAAATTTATTATCATATTTTACCAAATGTACATATTGTTATCGAGATAATTTATTTATATAAGAAACGATGCCATATTTATGTTTGATCAGGATGGGTGTATACTGTTTTAGTGGTGTTTCACATCCAATGAACATTTAGAAGATATAAGTGTCGTGACTATTTTAGTGACAAAGTAATCAAACACTTCAATAAAATGTACTTGAAATGTGACTGACAGTCAATGTACTAAAATATTTGAACATGAACGGTAGTCAAACGAAATTGTAATGGGGGCGTCCCGCCTGGTCGAGACACATTGTTTAAAGGTGATTCGAAGCCGGTAAATCATTTTTCACCGCGTATGAATATATTCGCCTGTCTCATTTGAAAAATGTATCATTGGGCATAGCGACATGACTATCGCTGTCCTTATATGTTGCGGCGATTAATACATATCAGAAAATGTGGACAATTTTTGTTGGTTTCCACAGCATTCTGCTAAAGTATCGGGTAGACTTCACGGGTCCCAGAAATGGTTTAGTTACCATACTGATCATGGAAGTCCGGTGGAGGTGAGGTGAAACTGGGTTTAACGTTTAACGTCGCGTCCAAGATTATTGCACTTATATAGCAATGCATGCACGTGTATGTGTTTGTGTAGCTGCTTGTACTAGTCCGGACTGATGCCGATTTATAGTGCTAGCTCACTGAGATACCATGCCGCAGTTTAACATGAATAGCCCACTCAGACACAGTATACTGACTCCGAGCCGACCAGTCCTTGAGCGCCAGACAGGGTAACGTCTTTTTGTATGACGGGGCCGGGGATCGAACCCCGGACCTTCCGCTCTCCGGGCGGACGCTCTACCACTAGACCACGGAGGCGGTCGGAAGTCCGGTGGAAGTCAGAGAACAGAGCAGAACGTTATTACTCCCAAGGCTATATGTTCATAACATCTTTGGGGTTTACAGGAGATCAGAATTATAATCAGAATATTGACTTGAATGCATCCATTACTATTTTTTTATAGCTAAAATGGATAGAATTATCATTAAATCGCCCGCATGTTATCAGAAATGAGCGAGCCACTGTAATTTGTGAATGCCCTCATATTGCTTGATGACGGGCCATTATAACGCCCGATGTTAGTTGACGTCATAGGGATAGGAATAGGTGAAGTCACGTTCAATAGTGACGTCATCTTGTTTGTTCTTTGACGTTTCCATATTTATGAAAGTGGGTCAGTGAAATTCGTGTTGATTGCACTAAATGTTTCAAAACCGATAACAAATTCTATCCATATTAGCTATAATAACGGTAACGCTATTTTTCCGGGCATTATCATTTGCAGAAGCCCTCGGTTTTTTCAACAAGTTCACGGAAGACCTCGGGCTTCTGCAAATGATAGTGCCCTGAAAAATAGCGTTAACCTTATAATGATATTTGGCTAGTTCCTTTATTGAGATATGTTTTTTTACATTGAAAAGGCTGGATAAGTTGATACCGTGATGGATTGACAGTAACGTGTAATGGTAAATACAACTGTCTGGTGGAATTAAAAGTAACGTGTAATGGTATATACAACTGTCTGGTGGAATTAAAAGTAACGTGTAATGGTATATACAACTGTCTGGTGGAATTAAAATAGTTACATTTTAATATAAAATGAAATTCGTCAGCAATGACCTGACAATTACATAAAGTGCATTTCCCATCCACTAAGAGTGTAATGTTCAATCTTCCACATTCGATGAGTAAGTAATGACAAGATGTTCTACACAATAGAGCTGATATATACAGCAATATGGGTAATGAGTTTACTAACTATGTTTCCAATGCAATTGTATGCTTTATGACTTTATATATATAAGATGATAGATCTAATTGTCATGCACACACAAATACATGTATGCCACCGAAGAAATGTATTTTCAACCTGTGAACTCGTAACGATAAATTCCATGTGTCATTAGCAGAGTGTACTGGATCATAAGATCTGAACGTTCGTGTGCACCCCTCGACCTTCGGTGTCATTTTGCAGAAGCCCATTCAGGTCCTAACATCCCGTACACCCCGCATGTAACATGTAACTCGAAATAATTTCCGGGTGTTGATGTACACATGTATAAATTGCCAGTGACATATTTCGTTTCAAATGCGTTGTTTTAGTTTCAAGTTTTAATTCTGTGAAATTCACTGCAAACTCAAATACATGTATATTTTAATACATGCACGTTGATCTAAGTTCCTCTTACCAATTTGTTTGCATACAATAAAATGTACAATTTGTAATAAAATTGATATTAAATGGTATGGTGTCTTTTTAAATCATAACTGAATTCCAGTGCTGGATAAATATTAACTGGACAGAGATATCGGTTTCGTATTTGTGACAGCAATAGGTACAGAAAGGATCAGCATATTGCACGAACACGCAAACATACAAGACGGAAGCCTTATTGACTGAAAGGCAGCCATACGGACTCTTTTAGACTAAAATCTAGTCTCTGAAATGAACATATCGTACATAAAAAAACAGTTGTTCAGTTATCTTAATAACAATTTAAAAAAAGGAGCCCAGTGACTCTCTTCATTCCTGATACTGCAGTGATCTAGACTTGCCAAACATTATAGACTTGCATGGGCTGTATTTGATATATATTTGTATCAGGGTCTGTAAGACAGACTAGGACTCTTTGATCAGCCAAGTTATTTGCCAGTCGAAACTCTGCTGCCACAGAGGTGAGAACGTTCAGGCCGAAGAAGGGCGAGTGATAAGGCTCTAAATAATAGTACGATGTGCATTGATGAATTCCGACCCTCTGGACATACAATTTACTCTTCGTACTTCGTGGCAGAAAGTTAAGGGGAAGTTGAACTATTGATGCACATATTGATCTCAGCAGTACATGTATAAGAGACCCGTGAAGATTTCGGGGTAGAATAGGTCTTCAGCAACCCATACTTGCCGTAAAAGGCGACTATGCTTGTCGTAAAAGGCGACTAACGGGATCGGGTGGTCAGGCTCGCTGATTTGGTTTATACATACATTATTTTACAGACCGCCGTCATATAGCTGGAATATTGCTGAGTGCGGCGTTAAACATCAAACAAACAAACAAACAAACAAACAAACAAAACATGTATAAGACAACCCTCTTCACGCTAACAACTGTGGTCGCTTTGTCAAAACATACACATTAATTCACATTATGTTTCTGCTTGTGTATGTAGCACTAAAAGGGTAGGGTATCTTTTGACAATTAATCTATCTGAACTTCTTCTCCAGTGCCAGATTAAAACTCGTACACTTTGACTTCTGCTTGTTCAACCACTGAACAATATAACAGCACATAAAAGGGGTATGGTCTTGACCGCCGTTTTCCTTGAAGATGCTATCGGGTATTTACTCAAAATTGTATCCCCAAAGATGTCCGGTGACCATTGCCACAATTAAGATTAGGATATCTGACTGTGTATGCGGTATGGGATACGCGATAGCGGGACATGCATGTGCTTGGAAGATTACAAAGTCAAACAGAGTTCATGTTAACGGAGAAGCTTTTGAATGTGCCGGTTTAGTCACTCCCTGAAGCACGGCAATCTTAAAACCTCGCAGCATGTGTGTCCCTCATTGGCCTAAATATCTGCTCCTACCTCCTGCCCATGGAACCAAGAAGCTTGCGGAGGACACCTTGTAGTATGGCAGCCCATTTTCCCCGAGCCTGGTGTAATTGGTACAGATCTTGTAACCTGGTTCACGTTGAAAAAACCCCCGTCTGTCTAGCTCATCCCACAGATGCTCACTTGGTTTGACAGCACATTCCATTCCTTTGGAAATTTGAACAAATATTTCATATTTCACATATCGTAATAGTTTATATCGCATTCTGTGACAACCTAATCATTCAGCACGCAGGAATACGATCCCGGTGATGGTTTTCGAATCAGCTGAACATGAGACTGGTAACCCATTTGTTCTTGAAATTGTTTCGTTTCTTCACAATGGAGTGTCAGCTTGGTCCGCTGAAATGATTAAACAACTATAGTTAATATTGGTACTCAATATCACTGCCTAGTCTCTTGTGAAATACAATGGAAACTGTCATCAGATAACTCAACAATTACTATAACTGATATTGAGAGTTGTGCATGTTCATCACACTAAGTGCTACTTTACACTCTACAGTGCTTGCGACCCATGAAGATCCGGGGTAGAATAGGTCTTCAGCAACCCATACTTGTCGTAAAGGGCAACTATGCTTGGCGTAAGAGGCCACTAACGGGATCGGGTGGTCAGGCCCGCTGACTTGGTTGATGCATGTCATCGATCCCAATTGCGTGGATCGATGCTCATGATATCAATCACTGGATAGTCTGGTCGAGACTCGAATATTTACAGACCGCTGTCATATATATGGAATATTGCTGAGAGCGGCGTTAAACAACAAACCAACCAACAACCAACTACGGTGCTTGAAATATGACACCGTCAACACAGTCTAGTTGCTACCAGAAAACTGGTTTGAAAGGCACTTGCATGGGCTAACAGTAAATACGGAGTGTTCTCCCCTTTTCCAGAAGCGTAGCGATTTCCAAGCAGCTATTCGGAAACATTTGTTGAACATCATATATACCACTGGGTACACTGCGCTGGAGGAGTAGGCAGGTATAAGGCAATGTATTTAAAAGCGACAATTCCATTTGGTTTCTGAAAAAGAAAGTGAACATATATGTATGTATACAGGCACTGTGGATTCCCGCGTAAACTTGCACTGCACCATGTTCAGGTGTCAGACTGTACAAAGAATGGCAGAGCATGTTTTGCAGAGACTAATTATTTTCTTTTTAACAAAAAGGGTATTCTTCTTCTTTTACATGTGGACATTTTTATAAAAAAAATACGCTTTTTTATTATATGTACAGTGTGAAGTAATACCTTGAGGAACACTACAAGGAAATCTAATCGTCTGTGGGGTAATGGGGATATTCAGAATGTGCAGAACAGCAGAATGTGTCCCAAGTGCGTCCTGCTTGTTGAAATATGCGAGTATAATGTCGTGTACCTGAGTGCGATATATGTGATCACCATCGACCTCTCAGCTGCTGCCTGGGTGATTGCACGCCATCTCATCCCAGCGGCCTGGGTACTTATACTATCGACCACTCGCTTGTCTGGCTAGTCTTATTTATTACAATGTTCACAAGTTCCGGTGATATATCTGTAACAGTGAGTGTGTAAGGTTTTACGTCGCTTTTAGAAATATTCCTGCAATATCACGATGGGGGACACCAGACATGGGCTCCATGTTCCCATGTCGGGAATCGAACCCGGGTCTTCGGCGTGTGCACACCCGTACGCACGCGTGCAACACGAACACGCGAACAATGAAATACCAATTTATCACGGAAGTGAATTATAGCAATTTTGTGTTTTAATGATTCTGTATCTACACCTTTGAGAGGACACATACACACGCACACACGCACGCACGCACGCAAGCACGCACGCACGCACGCACGCACGCACACACGCACGCACTGTTTTCATTGCATAATATATCACCTTTTTGTGCCGATCCCGATATACATCCCACAATAACGTTGTTTGCTGCGGTGTCCAGCAGATGAAAAACACAACAAATAGTGTCAATATCATAACTGCTGCCTGAAATCCAAGAGACAAACAATCATGTTCGAGCCCTAAATACAATATCCATGATGATTCGACAGTACGATAATTCAAAGTACTTCAGAAGGTCCTTATGCAATTCTCTATTTTCCTTTGCGTCATTTGGTAAAGTGGACTCTTGACTTACCTTTGCGTGTGTTTGTGAATGTCACTTTGTATAATCACCATTGGAGAATGATTCATAAACACATGCTAAGGAATTTTGAAATTATATTATAAAGCATTTTTTAAGCAGTATTGATAAATTGTTCTACTTGACAATCTGAGAAACGCGTTTGACACACATAACTGTATCAGCTGCTTTATCATTTGAGAAATAAAGGCAGTCTGTATCAAATTATGACCTACGTTTTGTCTCATTTTTTGCATTTGGTGTAGTTCCATGTTGAGACTAATTCTTCTTTCGTGCACTTGGTCCGAAAATCGTGTCATAGAAACCTGGTGCTCATTCCGCGACTCGTTCCGTGGAAAACTTTGTTCGCTGATTCGAGTTGGTAGTTTTGGAGTTTTTAAAATTGCGAACAGTAGGGCAAACATTGTACACAGTGGTATCACATACAGGACCACTGCAAAAAAAGTAATGTAAATTTTCTTTGTATCCTTGGATGGAAACAAATCTTCACAGTCAATTTCCAGTCCAGTTGCCCACTGGAATTCTACTTGTCTGACATATACGCCAACGGGAGGGCTACCAGTACTGCAGCAGTCCAGATGGCGAGGATCATCCCGCCCTGACATGTCTGAGTATATTGTAGAGGTCGTGGATGCTTGGAAGCCAAGTATCGGTCAACCACAGTTATTGTAAGAGTAGGAATGCTGGCTGATACGACCGTCACTGAAAGACAAGATTTATTTTTGTCAATATTTTTTCAATGTTAATCATGTAAAGCTGATTAGAATATCGATCAACTACAAAAAGAGTGTTAAGGATGTTCGCTGATCTGTATGCAGAGTATTTAACCTTTTCTAAGATATTTGTCTGAGATGGGATATTTTGAAAATCTTATAGATTTAATATCTTTCGAACTGAGAGAGGTGAAGGGCTTGATTGCAAACTAATGCGTTGGGGGCACTTAGTATATATACTGTGCCGTTAAACATCAACAACAAAACACACACACACACACACACACACACACACACACACACACACACACACACACACACACACACACACACACACACACTACTACTACTACTACTACTACTACTACTACTACTACTACTACTAATGTTCATTTGTCCACACGAGACTATAGGTTGGGGTATAATTGTCTGAACAGATATGTCTTTAGCTGTGCCTCGTATAGTGACAGATTCTACCCTTTAAGAATCAGGCAATAATGCAGAAGACATAGTTCGAGTCTACTGATCACAAACGCGATAAGATTAGTGTTTGAGTCATTCTGGTTAATCTCTGAAGTATAACATAAAAGGAAAATGTGAAGTAATACATTTTACCTTGTACAAAGGTATTTGCTGTACACATAAACGATCCGAGAATCCGCTGTTGTTTTAGGTCACTGACAAGGTGAATCCATGAACAAAACACTACGACAAGGACATCCGCAACAGCAAGGTTGACAACGTAGAAATTAAATTTTGTTCGGAGGCTTTTCGTCGCAGATATCACACCAATGATTAATCCATTGGCACAAAGTCCAACTGCTATTGTAATAGTGTAAAAACATATCTTTGTGGCTTGTTCAAGTAAAGACTTCTCTTCACCTGGAAGACACAGTAGCTCGCTAAGATTTTGATAATTTGTGAGATCCTGCACTTCATCATCGGTCATTCTGTCATTTAAAGAGATGACGTGTCACACAAAGAAGAGTTGCTTCCCAAACCTGAACGCTGCATGTGAGGTAAAATGAAAATACCAACTCGAGGTCCGAGAGAACAAGCCCAAGGTAGTCTGATTTAACCATGTATATAACATCAATCTTTTTATCTTACTGAAGACGAAAATGTAAGCTAAATACTTGTTATCCTTATCTGTTCTAAATCCGCCAACGTACAATAATACCCCAGCACTACTTAATATAGTAGCTATATCTGAAATAGTCCTGGTCTGAGAATGTGAGCACCGATTGCGACTATCGGAGAGAGAGAGAGAGAGAGAGAGAGAGAGAGAGAGAGAGAGAGAGAGAGAGAGAGAGAGAGAGAGAGAGAGAGAAATTTGGCGTAGTTATCTTATTCTCGTACGTTGACATGTGCTTTTCATATATGATTCTACTGCAACAACGTGCAAAGCCGGGTAAGGGAATGGACCTGGTATCGTCACTATTTCATACTGAACCACAACCACATGATTACTATGATATAACGGATATTTCTTATGATTACGGAAAGGTTTTGTCACTAATATATTTAATCAAAATAATGATGTAGCCATAAAAAATGTCAGCATTTTCCTTTGAAAAAGAAGACGCTTTCTTTTCACAGTGCTCAATTTGTATTGCAGCAGTCATTGTATGTCACGCATTATACTGTCAATACAAATTTACTACAATCACGATTTAGCCAAAATCATTATAATGCAACAATTTAATTTTCTAGTCTTAAAACATCTACTTATATATGAGCTGTTAAACTGTGATACTGTTAAAACACTTAAATGTTTGTACCATGTTACAAAATAATAGGTTTAAATTTATATGTTGATAAACATATTATTCTGTTTGTCTAATTGTGTTTCAGAACACACTAGAATGACATACATTAAAGGTATGCGACACAATATCAGGCAATAAAAAATGCATATGCATATAAATCCTGTTTTTGACTTTCTTAAAGTTATATTGACAATTGACCATAAAACCAGGGTCTGGTGACCAACCTTTTCGATCGTTGTCATAATGCATTAATAGGGTCCCTAGATTGATTGAATTTAATGTAACGGAAATGAACAAGATGAAACACATTTCACATTAAATTGTTAATTTGGCAGTTTTTCAGGGAGAGGCTATCTGAACGACCACTTCCCAGCTTTGGTATATCTTAAGCGACATGATGGCGTGGCTCGATCATTTATTACCGTCTTCGCCATGGTTGTGGTTTTGACACAGAGGTCATCCATGGTACGACCCAGAATATGGAGAGGGCGTCATGGAAAATGATAAATACAAAATTCTTTAGAATAGGCCCGTGGACAGCCTCAGACCTTTCCAGGCCAACAAACCTGATCTTGTCCTCTTTTGATAAATCCAATGAAATCATTTATATCATTGAATCTTCTGTCCCTTTTCACACTAATGTGATTGACAATTTTCAGGAAAAATATGGCAATATACGGACCTCACTTTCGAAATGTCACGATGGTATCTCAAGTAGCAGGTTTTCGTTCTTGGTGCCTTAGGTTTGGTACCTCCCAATCTGTTGACTGACATTGGGAGAGTACCCAGGTTTGATGCCAGGAATACAGCCCTTCTGACCATCTGGGAAATGCAGAAGGCTGCAGTGTTAGGGAGTCTTCACATTCTCCGAAATGTCTTTGGTCAACTAGTTATCGGTCAAGTGTACATCTGCAATCTATTTTTTAGAAAATATTCATTTTTTAAAACGGCTCATGTATTTCGACCATCTCCATTTTCGAATCAAGCAAACCGTCACAGGAAGTCGTTTACGGCACCGCTGATAAACCTATTGCATCTTCGACTCTTTGATACAAATGTCGAACTTGCCAAAGGACCACGTGTAACGAGTTTGGCAGGACCAAATATTCTAGAATCCACACGCAAGGGTATGGTAATGACAAAACCATAGGATCATCAGCTGGGCGAATTTGGGATTTATACCACGATGATTGGATCCTGCCACGTTCAAGAGATCTAAGCAACAGTTTGAGACGTCTCAAGCGACGTGTGACCCCTCTGGACATGTGCTCAAAGAGTTCCAAATACATCATTTAGTTAATTACTCGAGAAGCAGACGGGAACATTGCAGAAACATTCAGTTTAAATTATACTTTACTAGAACATGTACTGAGAACTTTCATCAAAAGGAGAAAATCAAAAGCAAAGCAGAGCTTTTCTACTGATGCGTTCGTAAAATCGCAATACATCTGAACGTGAACCCGGACGGCCACATTAGATAAATAATTTGCTTTATGACGGCGTGTCTGCTTGATGTTAGAGGAAAGTCTGAAACGTATACCACTTTGGTGAAACCTGCGATCAGAGATATAATGCTGACAAACCCAGTAACATAAACAGGACGAATCGGGATTCGGACCTACGATCCACAGCAAACAACTGCAGTAATATAGGCATGTGCTAATTGGTACGGAATCATATTGGGTCAATGAAGTGTAACGAGGTGATTTACAAATTGAAACTCAAAGAAAATCTGAAATCGGTTCGTACAGAACTAAATTGTGGAATCAGTAAATGGTCACACAAGAGAATTGTAAAAAGCGTTTCTGTCATTTCCTGCAACTGACACTTACCAAAACTTTAATTACAACAATCTCCACTGCAACATATCAAAAGTATTGAAACAAAATCACATTGCAAAATAAAACATACTGTTCAAAATGTCGTTAAACCAAACCAGCTCGGAGTGTAGGTTCTTGAATACCCGCTTTAATTTTATTTCATCTTTCTTCGGATACCCCTAAGACATTGACTCCTTCATCACGTGAATCACATACAACATGGAGGAACACCAATAGTGTTCACAGGAATTACTAAAAGGTCGTAATAATAACGAAAATAGGTGAAAGAGTGCTGGTCGTAAAAGGCGACCGAAATGGGCAACCCGTTTGCCGTGGGTTGCGCCCCTGGCCTGTGTCGGTCGAGGGCCGGATTCTGGTGGTTGAGGGCAAGTGTTCCTTTTGCCCAACAAACCACTTTGACCCTTACGTCACCTATGCCCTGTGCATTGAATACTTGCTAATTTAGAAATATCATATAACACAAGTTTTTAAAAGGTTATAAAACCTTGAAAATGTAAAGTAAAATTTTACCTAAGTCCTGTGCCAGAAGGCGGTGGCTGAATTCTGTGTTTTTGAGGAAAATGACATGGTCCGAACTAGCCTGACATTTGTCTTTTTATAAACGACACCTATTCATGTCTTTATTTCTGGAGTCTACCATCCCTGTAACCCTGGTGTTGCATCCTACAGTCCGTTTGACTCCAAATGAGAACGATGAATTGCAAAATAACTCGAAATCCAGAAAAGCGTATGAAACATCAATACAGTACTTGACCATGAATACCCTGTACCCAACAAAATCTGAATTTTGTTTAATGTAAGACCCATGACGGATGAAGTTCTTTAAGAAACTATCATGTTATTTTGTATAGAAATGTGTACATGACACGTAGGGGGGACAAACCGTGGAAAGCACAGCGCAAGCACGCATGCACTGCACCTTCTGTGGTAGGGGAAATGACAGAGCGTTAGAGGGGCTGTCTCATGATAATTTCAGTCGCAATCTGACTCGCTCATGCCACAGATCTCGTCGTCGGAACTGCTGGTGCCTGAACCGACTGCCACTATTATAGGTTGGCCTGTTGCTGGCCGTAGTCCATCTCGTGACCAATAACGTGGCTCTATCTCGCCAACGACTGTGGCCACACAACGCCTCCATGTTTCTACTGTTACCCGACCAAGGGATTCCTTTACGAGTTGTTCAACGTCTCGTAATTTGAACGTTGTGTTCGATCGTCCAACGTCACCCTTGACGATGCCCCATACCAACTCGATTGGATTCAGGTCGCAGTGATAAGTAGGCAGTCGTAAGACAGCGTGACCCTGGCCCTTGATGTAACTGTCAACTTTATACACGGTCAGGGTCAGGTTTCATAGTTTTGATGATTTCATAGAGCTGTGGTTTCGTCGCTCGAGAAGGAATGGTAATGTTCCTCCGTTGCGGCCAAGTAACCATGTCTCCTTTACGGTTATTAGAGGTTGGAGTCTTGCTTTCTGGATCCTGCACACTATGATACGGTGCATTGTCCATGACAATGAGAGACTTGGTAGGCAAAGCAGGGACTAATTTATCTTTCACCCACTCCAGAAATACATTGCCGTTCATTTCTGTGTGGCAGTCCCTGTTGTCTTTGGCCTTGGCTCCAAAGACGAGGTCACAGTCTGGGAGAAAACCCTGACTAGCAGAACCAGCATGGAGAACTATAAGTCTTTCACCCTTTCTCATTGGTAACTTTCTACCAGACTCCTTACAGTCACCACTGGGTACCCACTGACTGCTGGCTGTGTGTGACGCATTTACCCATGTCTCATCTAAAAAGACGGGCTCATATCCTTCTTCACGTTTCTGCTTGATGGTACGAAGGTAATGATTTCGGAGACGAACAATGTAGACCGTTCACACAACACAGCCCTATTTTCTCCAGTTATCTTTTTGTATTTGTAACCAAATGTATGCAACAGCTGCCATAGTTTGTACTTTGTAACACGTAAATCATGGTCAGTTTCAAGGTGTTTCTTCTAAATTCTTAGGGACAGGTACTTATTTTCTGAGTGCAGTTTAACAATTGCACGTCTGACTTGATCCCTCTGAAAACTGTCTAATTGATCAACCTTGCGTGGTTTTGACATGTTCCCTACCTCCTTGGCCTGACTATTTGTATCTCGTCGACTAACAACATTTTTAAGTTTGTGAGGGGACATACCAAGAGCTTTTGAAGCTCGTTTCAAGACTTTATTAATTGCATAAAAGGCTTTGCTCTTTCTGCTTCACTTCTAAAGAAATCATACAAATTTAACATCTGCTGAGTAGCGCATCTTGTCATTGAATGAACACGGTCACTGTGTAGCACGTGCAGACCGTGCTTGCGCTGTTCCTTCCACGGTTTGTCCCCCTACGTGTCATGTACACATTTCTATACAAAATTACATGATAGTTTCTTAAAGAACTTCATCCGTCATGCGTCTTAAATTAAACAAAATTCAGATTTTGTTGGGTACAGGGTATTCATGGTCAAGTAGCGTATTGATGTTTCATACACTTTTCTGGATTTCGAGTTATTTTTCAATTCATCGTTCTCATTTGGAGTCAAACGGGCTGTAGCTTCCACTGCAACGTCGTCCTCGTTGACACTCGATGGCGGGTGGAGAGCAGGGGTGATTATCAATTGTCCATGGCTACTAACATACCCTCTGGTTCAAAGACCAAAGACGAATAAACGTAGACATCTTTCTACGTCTTCTTCTGATGAAGTCTCTCCAACAGCTCTAGATTCTTTGCCAAGGATCTTGGTCATCGAAACTGCGGACGGAAGTCCTTTGAAAATATACCCCTTTGCTATCACCGTGGGCATCAAAGGTTTCTGTGGAGGGGTGAAGAACGTCACATGGCTTCGTTCCTTTCACTACTTGTGGAATGTGCAAAGAGGCATCAATCTGTTAACCTTTTAGGATGAAAGCAATTTGTTAACATTCAGGTTGCTGTCTCAGTGCACAGGACACTGAACTCTTGCAGAAGTATCGTCCGAGACGGAGGAAGAAATTTTGAATGAACTGAAAAGCCAAGGCATTGGAGTGGAGATACATGCACCCAATCCACTCCAATGTTCTGAATGCTGAAAATTTGGACAGGGTCCAAAATAATCATCCAAAATACAGCCTGAATTTTGAACTGGAATCTAAAATTCTTAAAACCAAAATCACAAATAATCTACAATGAAGCCAAACAGTTAATTCCCACACATTCTCGAGTTCCTATCACTCGAACGTATTCAGCTGCTGTTTTTGCTTCTGCTTCAGTTCCTATTATGAAAGTTTCCACCTCATGACAGACAGCCATCTCTTGGGTGAAAAATGAGCAGATGATGGTCATCTCCCTCAAATCTCTCACAATGAGCACAACTTAATCACATCATCCTCGCAGACAGAAGAACTATGAGACGAAAGAAAATCCAAAACCAGAACCACATCAAAACCAGCAATAGTCAATGCTGATGCCCATACTATACTTGTTGTAAGAGGCGACTAATGGGATCGGGTGTTCAGGCTGGCTGACTTGGTTGATGCATGTCATCGTGTCCCAATTACGTGGATCGATGCTTAGATATCAATCACTGGATTGCCTGGTCCAGACTCGATTATTTACAGACCGCTGTCAAATAGCTGTAATATTGCTGAGTGTGGAGTTAAACAACAATCAATCAATCAATCAATCAATCAAACAAAAAGAGAGAAAAGACAGCTGCGAAGGGCAAAAGCTATCCAGCATTTAGAGGTATCTTCTCCCTTGTCAACCCCTACTCTTGATATTAAAACCATCAGCTTTTAGTTTTCAAGAGACGTACATATACCTGAAAAATAGGTTAAATTTGATATTCGTCAGTACAATTCATACCATTCGTTTTCACCTCAAGGTGATAAAGCCATTGGTGGTGAGGCAGGGTGTCATCATAGCCCTGTTCCTCCCAAATGCAACCTTCAAAGCTGTTGCAGTCCGTTTTTCTTTGCACATAACCTTCACAATTTGCTCTTTATATATTTCCCCATCATCCCCTCTTCATCAGTCTGATCTTCAGGATATGTTTGACCAGCTCCCTAGACCCTGTATGATCATGGGTGATTTAAGTGGACATGACCCTCTGAGGGGAAGTGCTTGTACCAACGCTCAGGGGAAAACCTTGAAGACTTCATTTTAAATAATAATTTATGTATATTTAATGATGGATCAGACACATATTTACATCCTGCTACGGGCAGTTATTCTGCATTTGATCTATTATTCTCAAATCCAAATATTTATAACGAATTTGAATGGTAAGTCCACGATGACCTTGTGGAAGTGATCATTTCCATTCAATACTTTCAGCTATTAACCCGACTGATGATCCACAAGCAACAAGGTGGAATTTTACTAGCCATTAATTCACTTTGGACTGAAGAATTGAAATCTGATTTTTATCAATGTTCTTGATCCAGTCCTTCTCAGACAAACTTATTACAGCTGATGTTTCTATTTTCAAGTCCCCTGCTCGCCCACATATTCTCAAACCATGGTTAAATGATGATTGCAAACAGGCTAGGACGTGTAGGAAGAAGGCAGAGAATACACTCTTCTGTAAAAAGAAACGCACAGGTTGTATGTAGTTCACACAGCTCGTGTCACGGTAGACTACCTTCATAATGCCAACATTAACGCCTTGCTCTGGCCGTCGAGATCTCCAGATCTCAACCCAATCGATCACCTCTGGGATGAACTCGATCGACGTGTACGTCAACGTCAGAACACGCCAGAGACACTCCCACAACTGGCCAACGCGTTACAAGCAGAATGGCTCAGAATTCCGCAGGATAGAATTCGTACACTTATCCAGTCAGTGCCGAGGAAATGCAGAGCCGTGGTCGCTACCCGGGGCGGTCACACGAGATACTGAGTTCAGCGCAACCTTGTGGCATTATGTGACACGACAATGAACAGTTTTCAATCCCTTTGTACAACGCAGCACGTGATAATCGAGCTCCAAAATTTAATATTTGTATCTATGATATTAAATTAAATATATCGACTTTATTAGGTACAAAAAGTTAACTAAACATCTACCTGTGCGATTCTTTCTTTGAAGAGTGTATGTTCGCTCCATCCTACAGTTCGTAATCTAAATAATGTAAAAGTCAATAGTGCCAAGGCTCGTCGTACTTTTAAACATAATCAACGACAGCCTTAGAAAGAAATTGTATCAAAGATAAAATCACGTTCACCTATGACTAAGGTGTGGAACATAATATAGAAAATCAAAGGCAAAGGTAATTCTGGTGTTCATCATCTTAAAGGTGGCAATAATATATTAATTGATAAATATGACATTGCAAATAAGTTGGGTGAAACTTAAACTAAAAAGAATTTCACCATCCAATTATAATCCTGAGTTTCAGAAATATCAACATAAACAAGAAGAGAAGATTAATTTTAGTTCTGATAATGGTGAAGATTACAATGAAGTATTTTCACTACATGAGCTCAATACTGCTCTTGGGCAAGCTCATGACACCGCAACAGGAGCTTATAATAATCCACCATAAGCTCCTAAAACTCTAACCCAAGTCATGTCTTGAAACAATTTTAAATATTTTTGATGATATTTGGACAACAGGACACTTTTTCCCTTACTGGCACGATGCCATTGTTCCAATACGAAAACAATGGGTACAATGAGTGAAGCCCATTTCTGGTGTCCCCCGCCGCGATTTTGCTGGAATATTGCTGAAAGCGGCGTAAAACCATACTCACTCATTACAAGGGATCAATATTTCAGTGTAAAAACAGTTAAGGACCTTTTTAGCGATGCCAATTCACGTTATTCGTTATCTTTTAAAAAGATACAGAACTAATTCAGAAATTTCGATGTAAAAAGTTGTGTATTTCATTAATCGGTAGTGTATGATTATTAACTTAGATTGTTCGTGGCTGTGCCCTCGACGGGAGTTGAGGTACAGTAAATTTTTTGTCCCCCTGAGAGGGTATGTGAGACACCTCATTCAAAGTATATTTATATCTACTTCTATTTTAACTGCAGAATATTTGTTCACTTTTAATCTCTGGCTAACCTTACAACAATCAACAATAACTAAGGGAAGGGTGTAAATCCTGATGTGGGAACTATGCAGGAAGCAGTGGTACCTTAAGTCCACTTGGTCCCTAGTATGGGTGACCTTACATTTGTTACTGGCGATCTATATCCCCATTTTTATATCGTGTCGTTGCCAAATAATCAGATATTTTGAATGTTCTACAAGTCAATCTGTGACATATTGCTAGTTATTACACTGTACTTGTTCAAGTCACACTGTGACTGAAATATTGCCGACGTGACTTACTCACTCACTCACTAATTCACAGTCAGCAACTTGGTACAGTGTCATTGGTGGGACTCCGCTTCCTCATAGATGGTCAGACATGAGAAGTGATGCGTATAAATGAGGTCAGTTTAAGGGCCCAGACTTCGCGGCCACTACCTTTGGCGAGGTGGGAGGCCCAGTATACTTATCTATCTGCCTGCATTTAGTTCAGTTTGGGGCTCTCGTGGCTGTCTGCGAAAGTGAGGTATAATGATCTGCAATTTGTTTAAACAATATCTACTAGGACGTGTCCACTGACAACAACATAAATCAATAATTTCAAATATATATTTTATGTACTATGTTTTTCGTGCGTTGTATCTCATCAATTGAAACGATTGCACAAATAACAATTGACATTGATTTTCACTCCATTTCATAAACTGACTTCGTATTCATTTTTGGATATTAAAATGACATTCTATTTACGAAACTAATAAACAAAATAAATTACGAAAAAATAAAAGGATCCCTCTTGAAATCAAAACAAACTTTGCCAAATGCATACAGGGATTCTTAAATGTCCGGACTTAAGCTGAGTGCTATCTCACGGATAATACCTCAGTCTAACCTGTATATTTCTCTCAGACACATTTTACAGACTCCGAGCCGACCAGTCCTAGTTTTATCCCCTTAATGTCGAGCGCCAGGCAGGGCAAGAATAAGAAGCATATTTAGGTAGTAGACCTAGAAGCAGCACAAACCATTTCAGTAACTACAGGTTCTCATTTATTATTGCCTGACAAATTCCAAACATTTAATAAAACATTAATCAGTTTATATACATAATAAGTACATTCATTCAAAAAATAGGGACAAAACTCTTTCCATAATCATAAGAATTCTCTGCTAAAACTGAATTCATTGGTTTATGAATCATTGTCAAATAGTGATGATATGAGTTGTTCGCCTTAAGGTTAGCGTATCTTGTCCCATCGGTAACACCGTCACAAACCGTTATGCGTTATCGATGAAGCAGATAAGAAGCTGTTAAACAGATTTCCACCATTCCGGCAATCGTCTAGAAGTGGTTTCTGACCACCCATCTGTTGCTGTAGAATGTAGTGTTGAAGTCCAGACGTCCTTGCAGCTCTTGTGCCACCTTGTCCTGGTACCAGGCATCTAGGCAGTCGTAAGCGAGGTGGTGGTAGTCGTAGAAGAATTTGTTGGCAAAGAGTCCGGGCGAGGATGTCATCCGAACTAGATCACCGACAGAGAAGACACATATCGCACGAACAAACTTCCCGGAACATACAGTAGGTTGGTACCATATCTTGTAGCGGATCATCAAATCGTGGAGCCCGTCGTCCACATCTCCTGCATGTGTAAATGTACAAGTCATGATAGAAAACACAAACAGCTTCGCAGAAAAGACAAAGATTAGCAAAACATTTTAGAAATGTATGCTTTGGTAGACACTTAATGACAACCCTCTTCTTTCTCTGCACTTATACGCAGCCGACGTGCAGATGAATTCAAAACCAACAATCGTGTTTAGTTTCAACAACATCGGTAAATGCGCTATCGTGTCACTGGATTGTCTGATCAAGACTCAATTGTTTAAAGGCAGTCGTTTTATGGAAGGGGTACTGCGGTGCAGCGTTGGGCAAAAACACTTTCTTAATTATGCGAAGTGTGTGAGTGGCGGGCGCCACCAGTTGGGCAGGACATGCTCACCTTTTTCGAGAACACCTAGTGTCATCACTGATTTTCAGTGATCAATTCACATAATGTTCACCACTATTTTGCCTTTTACATCCAATGAAATACGTTTCGGGAGATGATCGAGACTAATTTATTATTCTCTTGACCTTTAAATCCATAGTTTAATAAAACTTAGCGCCACGTCAAAATGAGAAGCAACTGCCCTCATTACCAGATATCGAATGGTTGTTTTAGTGTTTTAGGCCTATCGTTGTTCTGTTATATCCCAGTTCCGATAAAAGTCCGAAGTGATGCTCTTTGAGATGCATATTGGTTTGAAACGTTTGTGTTGCCAAAGGGGTAGCCTAGCGGTTGAATCGTTCGCCATACAATTGCTGGAATATTGCTAGAGGTGGCTCACTCACTCAATAAACTCAACTCTGTCGGGCCATCCGACACCCGTTATTACCACCTGATCCCAACTTGCGCCGCCGCTTGTTGCACTGGACACCATGCCCCGGGATCATGAAAGTGGTCTTAGCTCAAATTTTGCAAAGCACGAATTTTGTCTTAAGTTTTTAAGATTTTGCTTAACTAACATTCGGTCTAAGACTGGATCTTGAAATGGTCTTAGCAAAATCTTAGCTAAGTCTAAGTCTGAGACCGTCGTCATAAGGACACGCGCACGTTATACCGTACTACGGTAATCATTGGATTCCGAGGTTTTCTGACGTACATTTTCCAGAGATCGGAAAAGTGAAGGTTGTGCGAGAATTGCGCTCACTCCTCACTGGATCTTCCTCTGGCTATAAAATTACGCAGAGATGTAGAATATTAGATTTCCTATCTGATGTTGTAAATTTAACTGTAAATATTAAACCGTATCTGTCAGCATGTTTACAAGGAGGCTGCGAATATCTAGACACTGTTTGGCGACATTCACAAACATACACACACACCTTTATAAGACCCTGGAACCTTGAGGTGAGGGTTGTAGTTGAGAGTAGCGAAGTAGGTTTCATCTGGGACACCGGTCTTCTTTACCCACGTCAGTAAGTCACGTGACACATTATTGTGAAGAAGGTAGTCGACGTACCCCCGGGATGCAGCGATGTGAACGCTGCCTTTCCGTGGTTTGATGTTGTGGGGAGGGTCTCCACGGCCTTTCCATCTATTAAAATTAGCCCTGCAGCAACACATTTAAATTACTACATTGCTGTATTAGCAGTACACCTTGCATTAGTGCAACACCTTTAAACTGCTAAATTGTTGTAGTAGCAGTACGCCTTGCATTAGTGCTACTCGTGTGGGCTGCTAAATTGTTGTAGTAGCAGTACGCCTTGCATTAGTGCAACACCTTTAAACTGCTAAATTGTTGTAGTAGCAGTACGCCTTGCATTAGTGCAACACCTTTAAACTGCTAAATTGTTGTAGTAGCAGTACGCCTTGCATTAGTGCAACTCGTTTTGGCTGCTAAATTGTTGTAGTAGCAGTACGCCTTGCATTAGTGCAACTCGTGTGGGCTGCTAAATTGTTGTAATAGCAGTACGCCTTGCATTAGTGCAACTCGTGTGGGCTGCTAAATTGTTGTAATAGCAGTACGCCTTGCATAAGTGCAACAAATTTAAACTGCTACTTCGTTATGATGGGCTATTGGAACACTATTGGAAGAACGTATTGAATATTATACAGGTTCGCCGTTCTAAAATATAGTAGCTGAAACCTGAAGAACGACAACAGCATTGTATGTATGTTTATTTTTACAAACATAAAGACTATTAAATGATTAAATATCAAGCCTCAGAAGGTGAAGATTAACAGTTCCGTTTATCCCTTTATCAAGTCTAATTGCAAGGTGAAAATTCAAGTAGACATTGTTGAATCTGCTCGTTCTTGTAATTGTTCTACAAGTCACTAACAGTTGTAGCATAAATGCACTTGTAGCCTGTACATGCATAATTAAGCTTTTCTCAGCAATATATTCACATTTTGTTTATCACTTAGTTCCCTAAGAACATAGCCACGAGACCCACGAGAATCATCTCATAATGATTCCCTAACAACATAGCCACGAGAACAATCCCAAGAACATGATCTTCTAACAAGATAATCACGAGAACAATCTCATGATGATTCCCAAACGACATAACCTGGAGAACAATCCCGTTATGATTCCCTAACAACAAAGCCACGAGAGTGAGTGTGTGAGTTAAAACTTAAAGTCACATCGGCAGTATTTCAGCCATATCATGACGGGAAGTTATACATTAATAATACATATCTTTTAGACTTAATAAAACCTGTCATCAGCAAAATAACTAGAATATCACAGATTCGATTTAATACTAGTTGAGAACTTTTGTACGTAATAATCAGTAAACAAGACAACTTACAGTACCTTTGCTACCTGTAAGGATCCCAGCAGGATTTACATAATTCTTTCAGATGTTGGCGATTATTGACAAATTTAGCCAAAATTTGAAAGAATACATATTCTACGATTAAAATTGTGGCAGAAATGAAACTACTTTGAATGGCGTGGTCTTACAAACCCTCTCAGGGGGACAATCATTTTACACTACTTGAACCCCTGTCGAAGGGACAGCCAATAACATTCTTAGTGAACAAATTTCTTTCTACCAAGTCTAAAAAGATCATTTATTAATTACAAAACATATGTTTCAAAATGTAGTTAAGAATTCTATTTCTTTTTTTAAAAAACCAAGAATTAAATGAGAGCGGTAATCAATAAAAGATCCCTTCATCAAACTTTAAAATAGTTATATCTTGTGATGGAAAATTAATTCCATGTTCTTGCAAACACAGCCAGTAAGTGATACTGGTTTATAATTAGAAGGATCAGTATGATTACGGCCAGGTTTCGGTATTGACATTATGACAGCATTTCGCCACGATGAAGGGAACTTATGCATTGTCCAGATATTATCAAATATAGTTAACAATGTCTCTAAACAGGAATCAGGTAAATGTTAAAGTAACTGATAGTGGATATTATCAGCACCTACAAAATATCATGACCTTGCCCTAAGGCAGTATGCAGCTGAAGAATGGAAAAGATTTCATTATGATCTTTACATTAACAGAATTAAAATTATATTTCTTTCTTGTTGTTTAAATTTCTGAAAGTTTAGGGTATACTTTGATGCAGATGAATATTTGCCTAACGTTTCTCCTAAAGTATTTGCTGTATCAGATTTATCAGTTAATAAAGTGTCACCATCTTTAAGATGGTGAACATTAGATTTGGAACCTTTACCTTTAATCTTTTGCACTATATTCCAAACCTTAAGCATAGGTGTTTTGCATTTTAAATATGTTTAAGTTATGGACAATTCGGTGGCGGCGGAAATATTTCTCTGCCTCTTTACTATCGATTCGCAGTGCAGAGTTGGGTCCCTTGGGCACGCCAGAAACCTATGATTGTGGGTTCGAATCCCGGTTCGCCCCGATTATGTTTCTAGGTTTGTCAGCACCATACCCGTGCTCGTGGGCTTCACCGATGTGGTAAACGTCTGCATCATCTTTCCTCCCACATTAAGCTGACACGCTGCGATATAACTGGAATACTGTTAAAAGCGGCATTGAACCCAACTCACTCAATGTACCACCCCCGATTTGGTTAAAGTCATTTAGATCACTCGTGATCACACAGGGCTTGGGAAATTGATCACAGAGAGCTTGAAGAGCTGACGAAGGCGGAATATACAAAGAGCACAGAGTAAAAGCACCGTTCAAAGTAAGTCGCACTGCAACGGCTGAGATTGATGTTAAGTGTAACAGGGTTGTGTTGTGGTGAACAACATTGAGGATCCTCCAGCGGCCGTTTCACCCGGGGGAGAAAAATAATGGCATGCATAAAACTGACGTAAATTAAATAGTGTGTCTGCTTTAGATAAATTTCCTGAGGACAGAATGCTGATGGTTTAAAATACTGGACTAACATATGTAATTCATTAAAGTTAGTCCTTAATCCTCTATGATTCCACTGAGCAATATCATTTGAAGAAACTATCTTTTCAGGGGGATTGATTGGTGATCTATCCCGCACTTTCCTTGAGGGCGACAAGCTGTGTGCTCTAGGGTGCATGTTTTCGGACACATCCACGTCCTCAAGGGATCCAAACTTAATAAATAGTTGGATCTGGTTATTTGACCACTTAGAGGCTCTGCCACTTTGATATAGATTTGAAGATTCTGCTCTTAGTTTGTTTTTACTTTTTACAACCTGCTTCACATTTGTTCCCGATTGACCTTGTTGAGAGGGCTGAGAAAATGATTGCTCTTGATAAGAAAGATGATGACGGTGTGTGAACTAAAGAGAGATTCGGTGTATTAGAAAGGGATTCTGTAGTTTGAGTGGACTGCAAATGTGAATAAACTTGAGAGTGTTTCTGTGTTGACCCACGTCAAGTCTGTCTGGCAGCTTATTGATGCAGTGGCTAATTCGGGAGTTGTTTCGAATTGATGTCCGGTGATAGAAGCATAAATTTATTTTAGTTCTGGAGTTTGAACAAGTTGTTTTGCATTAGCGAAACTGATGTTTCTGGTAAATGTGATTGAATTGTGTTGTTTCCAAACAGATGTTTTAGAAAGATGAATGACTCCCGGAACACTTTTCTAAAGTCGCTGTCACAATCGTCTGTTTTATGTGTTTTCTCACCAAAGTGAGCACACGTAACAGACAACGTGCAAGTGTTCACACAATGACTGTACTTTTGGCATTTGAAACATCGTAAGGCATTGGGAATGTAGATTTCAACACTGATATTGCAGTAACCTGCCATAATGAGTTGGTTGGTTAAGGTTGAGAATATTTATGGGTTGTTCCATACAGAACACCTTGGTCTCTCATTTCTGACACTATTTCAGTTTAAGTCATGTCTGTGAACAAGTGATCCCTGTCTCGCACAATTCCTTTGCAGGTACTGAGAGTTGACCAAAACTGGAACGCCGACAAACGAAACAGCTGACATGAGATTAGTGAATTGCTAATAACAAGAAAAAGAGTATATATTTACACTTCTAGAAAGCCAAGTTGTTTTCTCAATATGCACAAACTGATCTCTAAGAATGGCAAACTCTCAGCATGTAGCGTACGTTGCGACCCAACGAGGAAGAAGATGGCTTTAGATACAGACTAAATAATACGCGACTGACATGTGTCCACTGGGGATGTGTAAACAGGATGTACTGGTAAATGTACAACAATTGGTGAGTTTGTTAGAAACCTGAATCCACACAACCATCCAGCAGAAGACATAACAGCCAGATTCCTGAACACAGTCCGTGAACAGAAGAAACTGAAAGAAACAAACTTGCCCAGGATTTGCAGACCTCCCCCAAGCACATTTTGTTAAATCTTGGGTGAACTGTTTAGGTTTCAGAAAAAAATTGATATTATATTGTTCATCTGCTGCTGCAGTACAGAACAATTATTTCTCTGAAATAATTTGCTGACCTGTCAGATTTCAGGTATATTGCTTGTTGACTGTATTATAATATGATATATTTGGTCATTGTGTACATTAAATCTATTCAACTCTTACACTGTTAGTGGTCATAAGTTTCTTAAACTGTGACAGTTTGGAAACTTAAGATATTGCTGGGGGCAAGGGTGGCCTAGTCGTCTAAGGCGCCGTGATTTCCAGAGATACGTTCCTTTGGCAGAAACCTATGATTGTGGGTTCGAATCCCGGTTCATCCCGATTAGGTTTCTAGGTTTGTCAGCACCATACCCGTGCTCGTGGGTTTCACCGAAGTGGTGAACGCCTGAGACCTGCCTCACCATTATATAACTGGAATACTGTTAAAAGCAGCGTTAAACCCAATTCACTCACTCACTCACTTAGATATTGCTTATTTATGAGTTCATATCGCTGTTGTTGAAAAGCTTCACATTGAAATAAATAATGAAATTCATCTCCCACAGCGACTGAATCGCAGAGTGGACACTTGCGGTCTTCCTTGGGAATGTTCAGCCATCGACCAGTTTCAATGGGTAATCTGTGATTAGTAGTTCTGAATTTTAATAATAGGGAGAAAAACTGATTTTGAGAGCAATAGATATTTCTCATATGAAGGTTGATTCTTCAGGTAATTGTAATACGACCCTTTGGAGTTTGATTCGGCAGTGGATCTCCAGTTCTGAAGGAATTGATATTTATA